AATTTAGATGTGAAGTATCGCAATTTTACGGGAGAGTTACAGTTCACAGCAAGGATCAATGTTGCTTCCTTCCTTCATATTTTTTGTCTATCAGAGAATAAAGTTCGAATCTTCGCAATACAACAGAATCAGAACTTTATATTAGAATGGATGCCTTTGTGGAGAAAAAATAATTTTACGAGTTTTCACATACACTTGCAAATAGTATAATTGGAGTAAGGAAATACGCAAAAACGCAAAATTCAAATCGTATCTAATTTAGACAAAGAACTAGTCGCAAACGTTAGATTAATAACTAAAGTAGTCAGAAAATGACCTATATCAAATTGAAAAAGTATTCGAAATAAATCTTAATACAATCATGTTTGTTAGAAGACTATTAATTAAATATTAGGTTACAAATTACTGTATTGATTGGTGTGAATATAGCACATTCTATTTTGAAAGAGCCGACCTGAATGACTGATGTGGCTAAGAGCGCGTGCCGCCTCATCACCTCCCTCTGACGGTTCGTGGGTTCGAAGCCCAGGAGATGGACGTCTGTGCCTTATATTTTGCGCGCGGGAGCGGTGTGCACACACATGTTAGCGTGTGTGTGTTTGTAGTCGCGAAATACTCATTTGGATGTAAAAGATAATCCGGCCTCGGTTGTAAAACCGCGGGCAAAGTAACTTTCAATAGACAATTACCCGAAATTAATTTTCTACAGTTTACACGCACTGCTCCATTCTACGGAATAATGACCGGCGAAAGTGGCTCAAGACGCCAATTGATATTACTGCAATGCCTCAAACCGAGGGGTCCTAGGGATCGAGTCCCCGTGATGACAGAGGTAGGTCGCATTCAGGTGCTGTCTGGAGGAGCCGCCTGCTCTGATCGTAAGTTTTCCGTGGTCCGATCAATCTCAGGCGAACGCCGGAGCAGTGCCCTATCAAACTGACCGCGGGCGTTCTTTCCTTCCCTTCCTTGCCCTATTCTCACCCCTCACACCCACACTAAAATGCATTACCCTACCCTATACTAACACATTTATCGGGAGAGATACCTGGTTGAGGAAATCCTCATAAGCTGACGTAGATCGACGCTGGATCCTGCTGGATTCAGCGGGGGAATATAACCGTCACCTGCCGCGATAAAAAGCATGCACTACACTTACGGGAATAATTACCTTAGCTCTTGACGCTCCCAGAATCACTAATCAATCAATTAATCTACGGACTAATGAGGAACATCGGCCCGATGAAACCTTTCAAACGGAGGTACAGTTTCTGATGTTAGACTTCTTTACAGATGGCAAATATGAGCTATTATTATAAAAGTCGGGAATACATTCTGAAGTGTATTTTAATAAAAAACACTACATTATCTGATAGTGTAAAATACAAGTACACTGTAAAATATAAGAATACTATATTGTACAGTAATTTCGACATATTACATTTAAAATCAGCATTTTTTTAAAAATCATGGTTTAAAAACCATCAAAAACACAATCCTCCCCATTCCCTTCCATTTTTCTCCCTTCGACCTCCGCGGGGTCCTAGTACACTAACACTCAATTTGAAACACTTTGTTGACGCTGAGATTCTATCGCAGGTCCTCGATTGTTCTTCTGCACCGTGCTCGCAAGCGGGGTGGGCGCTACGGCCCTTATATGCGCTCCTGTTCTCCGGTGGACTAAC